GGCTATTTTTTGGTTGCATCCGTCATTGTTGTTTGGCGGGTCTGGGCTGGGGATTCGAACCCGCCACCTTAGGTGTACGTGGCTGGCGCCTTAGCCGTGCATCACAGATCTTTAATCCTAATATTAATGGGTATTAGGGCTTCTTTGTACAAGACATAGTGTGTACTCAATGACTGGTGGTAGAGGAAGATGCAGAATAAACTAGTCTATCCCCATCCTATCAAGTTTTGATTCCTGAGACTTAGGACTGTAATGGCATGCCTGGGTCATTCTTATTTTTCTTTTATTAAATCGTTGTTACTATTGTTATTATTTTTGAGACAAAGTCTCACTCTGTCACCCAGGGTAGAGTGCTGTGGCATCATCCATGTCTCAGTCTTGGGCTGAGAACCTGTGTGCTTTCTCGTGTCTGTAAAATTTAGATGAAAAAGTAACTTTAGGGCAGTGCCTGTGGCTCAAAGGAGTAGGGTGCTGGCCCTACATGCTGGAGGTGGCGGGTTGAAACCCATCCCCAGCCAGAAAAAAAAAGTAACTTTAGAGAAGAGTAGCCCAGGATATGTGTGTGTGTGTGTGTGTGTGTGTGTGTGTGCGCGCGTGCGCGCGCGCACACGTGCATAAGTGCCGATGACATGTTTATGTGTATGTATTAGGTGTTTAACAGGTAAGAAATTGTGTCCTGAAGAGGAAAAGTGACTTGCATATCTAATTGTTTGAGATCTAGGACTAGAGTTCAAGTCCACCAACTTCTGTTTTTTTTCCCATAAGCTATAGTTTTCAGGTATTTTGTTAAGGGTATATATGAACCACCATTTTTTCTTTTTCTTTCTTTTTTTTTTTTTTTTGAGACAGACTTTCAAGCTGTTGCCCTGGGTAGAATGCTGTAGTGGCACAGCTCACAGCAACCTCAAACTCTTGAGTTTAAGCGATTCTCCTGCCTCAGCTTCCCAACTAGGTGGGACTGCAGGTGCCCGCCTGGCTATTTTTTTTGGTTGTAGTTGTCATTGTCATTGTTGTTTGGCAGGCCCGGGCTGGATTTAAACCCACCAGCTCCAGTGTATGTGGCTGGTGCCCTAGCCACTGAGCTACAGGCACTGAGCCATTTTATTCTTTTATGGAGACAGTTTCACTTTGTTGCCCTTTGTAGAGTGTTAGGACATCATAGCTCACAGCAACCTCAGTCTCTGGGGTTTAAGCAGTCCTCTTGCCTTAGCCTCCAGAGTAGCTGGAACTACAGGCGCCCGCTACAATGCCTGGCTTTTTTTTTTTTTTTTTTAAGCGATGAGGTCTTGCTCTGGCTCAGGCTGGTCTTGAACTCCTAAGCTTAGGCAGTCTACCTGTCTTGGCCTCTCAGAGTATTGGGAGTACAGGTGTGACCTACTGCACCTGGCCCTGAACCACCATTTAGATGAAAAGTTTTGTGTTAAGGCCAGGCTCATGGCTCACGCCTATAAATCCTAGCACCGTGGGAGCCAAGGTAGGTGGATTGTTTACCAGTTTGAGACCACTAGACCTTGTCTCTAATAATAGCTGGATGTGATGGTGGGTGGGTGCCTGTAGTCCTAGCTACTTGGGAGGCCGAGGCAAGAGAATTGCTTAAACCCAAGAGTTTGAGGTTGCTTGGCACTCTACTGAGGGTTACAAAGTGACACTCTGTCTCAAAGAAAAAAAAACGAAAGGCTTTGGGACTGTAGCACAATGGTTACAGTGCGGGCCACATACACTCAAGTTGGTGGGTTTGAACCCAGCCCGGGGCAGCTAAACAATGACGAGTGCAACAGAAAAATAGTTCTGATTTTGTCACCGTCAGTAGAATGCCATAGTGTCACAGCTCACAGCAACCTCAAACTCTTGGGCTTAAGCAGTTCTCTTGCCTTAGCCTCCCGAGTAGCTGGAGCTATAGGTGCCTGCCACAACACCCGGCCGTTTTTTTTGTTCTTGTTGTTGCAGTTGGCCCAGGCTGGATTTGAACCTGCCAGCTCCGATATATGTGGCTGGCGCCGTAGCTGCTGAGCTATAGGCACCGAGCCAAAACATGTTTAATGATATTTTAATAGTAAATTTCCCTTCCCAAAAGTAGTAAGTTTGTGGAAACTGTGTATAAGCAAAAAAGGAGCAATTGCCCATAATCCAAACATTCATAGAACTTTTGTGTATGTCCTCTCCCTCCCTCTCTTTGTACCTACGTTTTTTTTGAAAAGAGGTTATACTACCAGCATGAGCAAGAGCAAGACCCCATCTCTACTAAAAATAGAAAATCTAGCCGGGCATTGTGGGTGCCTATAGTTTTAGCTACTTGGGAGGCTGAGGCAGAAGGATTGCTTGAGCCCAGGAGTAGGAGGTCGCTGTGAGCTATGATGCCATGACACTGTAGCTAGTGCAATAGAGTAAGAATCTGTCTCAAAAAAAAAAGGGTTGTGCTGTATATACATACTGATTTCATACCTGCTCTTTGTACTCATTTAATACATCATGAATGGCTTTTCATGTCATTAAATGTTCGGTAACATTTTAAAATCTTTACTACATTTTCATATTTGTAGGAAAATTTGAGAATAGCAGTAAATGGTTAACACTGTATGTTTTATATATTTGTTGTAGGAAAACTAGAGAATACAGAGAAACATAAAATATTATTATTATTATTATTTTTTGAGATGGATTTTTACCATTATCACCTTTGGTAGAGTGCTGTAGCCTCACAGCTCACAGCAACCTCAAACTCTTGGGATTAAGCTATTCTCTTGCCTTGGCCTTCCAAATAGCTGGGACTACAGGTGCCCGCCACAATGCCCGGCCATTTTTTTGTCGTAGTTGTCATTGTTTGGTGGGCCTGGGCTAGATTTGAACTCGCTAGCTCTGCTGTATGTGGCTGGCATCCTAGCTGCTTGAACTACAGGTGCTGAGCCATGTTCGTTATTTCTTTCTTTCTTTTTTTTTTTTTTTTTTGCAGTTTTTGGCTGGGGCTGGGTTTGAACCTGCCACCTCTGGCATATGGGGCCAGCGCTCTACATTTTTGAGCCACAGGCACCACCCCATTATTTCTTATATAGACCTCTGGGCCTGCTTTTGGACTTGGTGTTTGCTGCATTTATCTAACTGTTTGTCCCATGCTCCTGTTGTAGTTGGTCCTAGCTTTTGTTGGTACAAGTTCCATTTTCTTTTTTTTGCAGTTTTTTTTGGCTGGGGTTGGGTTAGAACCCACTACCTCCAGCATACGGTGCCGGCGCCCTACTCCTTGAGCCACAGGCACTGCCCAAGTTCCATTTTCTTAATTTTCGTCATATACTTAAGTCTTCCAGATGAATTTTAGAATCATTTATAATGCCTTCCAACAAATTTCTTAATAAAAAAGTTCTACACTTGGCTCAGTGCCTGTAGCTCGGTGGCTAGGATGCCAGCCACATATACTGGAGCTGGTGAGTTTGAATCCAGCCTGGGCCTGCCAAACAACAATGACAACTACAACAACAAAACAGCTGGGTTTTGTGGCAGGCGCCTGTAGTCCCAGCTACTTGGGAGGCTGAGGCAAGAGAATCACTTAAGCCCAAGAGTTTGAGGTTGCTGTGAGCTATAATGCCACGGCACTCTACCCAGGGCAACAGTTTGAGACTGTCTCAAAACAAAAACAAAACAAACAAAAAAGTTCTACACTTATAAATTGTGTGAGAATTAAAGAAATGCATAATATTGAGTCTTCCTATTCAGGACCATGGTATTGATATGTTGCATTTTAGGTACATGTAGGATATTCATTTGGCAATGTCTTGTAGGCATTGATACACAGGATGTGAAGCTCAGCTTAGAGGGATGGGGACAGGATACAAAGGTTTGAGACTTTGAGGCTTGTAGGCAGGACTGCATGGGCTTGCTCATTATTTAGATAGAGGCTGAGGGTAGTACATGATATTTAAGAGGTAGGTGGAAGATGAAGGACCTGAAAAGAAATGTGTTGGAAGAGAAAGTAGGGATAGTGGAAAAGGCATGGGGTCTTTGAGACAGTCATGTCAGCATTCAAACTTTGTTCTTGGTTTGCTAATTATGTGACCTTAATTTTCCTAAACCTTTATTTGCTCATCTTTGGAATGAAACTAATACAGTCTATAATAACATTGTTTAGAGGATAAGTTGAATAGGGAGACAATAGGATGTTAGTTGAGATAAGAGGAATTTTAGAGGCATTATTGGGGTTGGATTCTTTTTTTTTCTTTTGAGACAGAGTCTCACTTTGTCACCCTGCATGTTAACTCCTGAGCTCAAGCAATCCACCTGCTTTGGCCTCCCAGAGTGCTGGGATTACAGGCATGAGCCACCACATCTGGCTTGGGATTAGATTCTTGCTTTGCTCTTTCCTATTGGCATGACCTTTGGAAGCTATTCAGCCTTTGGCCCATACTTTTCAAATGGGGATAATTAAAGTAATACCTTACTCATAGGAATATTTCAAGATTTAAATGAGATAATGAACATAATGTGCTTAGCATGATTCCTGAGGCATAGTAGGGATTCAGTAAATGTTTGCCTTGATGATGATGATATGATAAAGTATCTGACACACAAAGGTTAGTGCATAGCTAACTTAGTAAGGATTGCCTTCCCATCAGAATAGGGAGGGTGTAGCAGCCTGTATAGTCGTTGGCTAGGAGGTGTAAGCATTATAAGAAATAACCTGGGGCAGTGCCTGTGGCTCAAAGGAGTAGGGCACTGGCCCCATATGCTGGAGCTGGTGGGTTCAAACCCAGCCCCAGCCAAAAACTGCATAAAAAAGAAAGAAAGAAAGAAAGAAAGAAAGAACCTGTATAGCTCAATAATGGAACACCTTGGTGAAAAGGGCATGGAGAAGTATTTAGCTCTCCTAACAAACATGAGAGCTCTAGAGATGAGAGCATTGGTGAATTGGCAGCCTCTGCACCTGTGGTGTTGAGAGGCAGGAGATCAGCCTTATATTAGGCTGGAGGAGAAGGCAGTCAGGAGAATGCTCATTCTGTCATGGACCCACTTACTCTGACTGTCTCCTCTCCAGCCTGCAGAACACCAGCATGGCATCTCTCTGCTGAAGAACAGTAAGCTCTGCTAAAGACTAAGATCTATCTATTCTAAGACTGCTTTACTCTCTTAAAGACTAACTCTCTCTCTCTTTCCCTTCTACTAAATTAAACCCCTCAGGCACCTAAGAGAAATTGTTCCTGAGCAAGGTAGCTTAGTTTTCCTCATCTGGAACCTAGTTAAGCCAGGCCTGAGACCTGGCCAGTCCCAGGCCCTGACAGGAGGGAGACCCATATCCTTCGCAGAAGGTAGAACAGGACCCAAAAAAAGAACCAAAAGAATGATAATGCACATTGATATTGCTGTTTGGCACATATATCTGAAGAGTTTGGACAGGCCTCTCATGAATCCAGTTTGGTTTAAGTCATTCATTCCAAGCTTATGATGAAATGTGAATTCCTATTTAGGGTGAATGTACATTTCTGTCTTTCAGGCAAACACAGAGCAGCCCAAGCTGAGTAGAGATGAGCAGCGGGGTCGAGGTGCCCTTTTACAGGACATTTGCAAAGGGACCAAGCTGAGGAAGGTGACCAACATTAATGATCGGAGTGCACCCATCCTCGAAAGTGAGTCTAAGCTTCAGTTCCTAGTGAAGACTAGGGTCCTAAGAGTGAGTTGGAGACTTGGCTAAGCGGTCATGTTTATTGATGGGGCTTGAGTGGGAGAGTTGTCCTGAGATGTCCTTCAGCTCTCTTTCCATGTGTTCATTTGAATACTTCAGGAATTTTTTCTTTAAATGGGGCTCATTTATTGCCACTGTTCCAAATGTACAAAACTTTTAGAAAGTAATCCCCCAACTCAACCCTCCACACACACATTTTCCTCAACACAGATAATTTTCCCAAACCCACAAACATAAATTAGTTCTGGTATTTCCATAAACACTGCAGTTAAGAAATAATTCAGAGAAAATTTTAACAGGATTCAGATTATATCCATTCAGAAATTATTTATTTATTTATTTATTTTTGTTGTTGTTGTTGTTGTTGTTGTTTGAGACAGAGCCTCAAGCTATCACCCTGGGTAGAGTGCTGTGGCATCACAGCTCACAGCAACTCATACTTCTGGGCTTAAGCAATTCTCTTGCCTCAGCCTCCCAAGTATCTGGGACTACAGGTACCTATCATAACGCCCGGCTATTTTTTGGTTGTAGTTGTCACCGTTTGGCAGGCCCGGGCCAGATTCAAATCCGCCAGCTCTGGTGTATGTGGCTGGTGCCTTAGCCGCTTGAGCTACGGGTGCTACCCCAGAAATTTTATTTTTTTGAGACAAAGTCTCTGTTGTCCTGGGTAGAGTGCCATGGCAGCATATCTCACAACAACTTCAGACTCTTGCACTCAAGTGATCATCTTGCCTCAGCCTCCCGAGTAGCTGGGACTACAGGCATCCAGCATAATACCCAGCTAGTTTTTTTTTATTTTTAGTAGAGATGGGGTCTCTCTTGCTCAGGCTGGTCTCAAATTCCTGAGCTCAGGTGATCACTCCCCTTGGCCTCCCAGAGTCTAGGATTACAGGCGTGACCCATTGTGCCCAAACTAATTTTTCTATTTTTAGTAAAAATTCTATTTTAGAGAAAGTGCTTGGGCTGGTCTAAAAGTCCTGACCTGATGCAGTTTGCCCATCTTGACCTCCCAGAGAGGTAGGATTATAGACATGAGCACAATACCTGGCCCCTTAGAAATATTCTCTTGACCTGTGGGAAGCATTTTAAGGGTTAAGGTTATCATCTCTACTATAACTAATGCTTATTAGGGCACTTCCTTGCGTCTTCTCTGAGGAGACTACCACATTCCTAGAAACCTCTTGGCTGAAGCCAAGGATATAATTTGCAACAAGTGTCCATTCTTGTAGGCCTCTAGGGAGTTTGCTTACTCCTGGGTCCCTGAGCCATCAGCCCTTCTTGTATCTGGAGAGGTAAGCCCAGAGAACTCTTTTGAACATTTCTTTCCCAGTTATCTCTTTGCCCTAAATAAGAGAAAATTGGCTCCTTGTTCTTTTTGTTCTTTCATCACAGCAAAGAGTTTCATCCCTATATGAAGCTGTGGAACTGAAAGGCCTAGCTTTTTTAAAATAGGAAAACAAAAGCAAGCCTGATTGGTTTGCAAATTATAACCCAGATACAGGAAGAGTCTCTCCTCAGGATTGCCTTGGCCACTAGCTCAGAGCATATGAACTGAAAACCCTAACGGTATGTTTTCCAGAGCCCAAAGCAAGCAGCGGCGGTTATGGCTCTGGAGTAGCTGCCCTGCAGCCCAAGGGAGGGCTCTTCCAAGGAGGAGTGCCAAAGCTTCGACCTGTGGGAGCCAAGGACACTTCAGGTATCTTATAAATTCTTTCTTTATTTTGTTTTTGGTTTTGTTTTTTGAGACAAAGTCTCATTTTTGTCACCCTTGGTAGAGTGCCATGGCATCACAGCTCACAGCAACCCAAACTCTTGGGCTTAAGCAATCCTCTTGCCTCAGCCTCCCAAGTAGCTGGAACTATAGATGTCCGCCACCACACCTGGCTTTTTTTTTTTTTAAGAGACGTGGTCTTTAAATGTCCAAGACGTGGTGGATTCAGAGAGTCCACCCAGCTTGGCCTCCCAAGTGCTGGGATTATAGGTATGAGCCACTATGCCTGGCCCTTGTAAATACTTGCTTAGGATATTTCCCAGTCATAATTTATAATTTTTGAATTGTTCCATGTGAGCCAGCTCAGCTTGAGTGTGGTAGAGGTAGGAGGAAGAAGGAATGGGAGCAGGGGAGGAGATACAAACTAGAATAAATTAAAAGGTGAGGGATTAAATAAAATGTATTCAACTTGAATAAAGAAAGTGTGGTATAGGTACACAATACAATACTATGCAGCTGGCTTGGATAGCATTCTAAGTGGTTAGCACAGTGGTTATAGCACCAGCCACGTACATCAAGGTTGGCAGGTTCGACTCTGGCCTGAGCCAGCTAAACAACAATAACTGTAACAAAAAAAAGCCGGGCATTGTGGCAGGCACCTGTAGTCCTAGCTACTTGGGAGGCTGAGGCAAGAGAATCACTTAAGCCCAAGACTTTGAGGTTGCTGTGAGCTGTGACACCACAGCACTCTACCAAGGGCAACATTGTGAGACTGTCTCCAAAAAATAAATAAATAAATACTATACAGCTTTAAAAAACGAAATTCTGAACATGGATGAAGGACAGTGATACCTGGAGGATGTTATAGTAAGTGAAATAAGCCAGGCACAAAAAAACAAGTACTGTTTGATCTCATTTATACTTGAGATCGAAAACAGTCCAAACTCATTCACAGAAGTAGAGAGTAAAGAGTGGTTACTAGAAGCTAGGGAGATCGGAGTGGGTGATATCAGGAGGAAGGGAAGGTGTTAGTAAAAGGGTACAAAATTTTAGTTAGGAGAAGTAAGTTTTAGTGATCTGTTGCATAGCATCGTGACTGTAGTTAATGATAAGGTATATTTCAAAATTGTAAGTGGACTAAGAGTAAGTATTCTCACCACAAAGAAAAACGTTGTGAGGTGATGGATTTGTTAATCAGCTTAATCTAATCATTCCATAGTGTATATATATAAAATTACATTGTACCCCAAAATATATACAATTATTATTTGTCAAAAATAAGAGTAAATTTTAAAAAATTAAAAAGTAAGGCTCAGCGCCTGTGGCTCAGGCGGCTAAGGTGCCAGCCATATACACCTGAGCTG